AAGGAAAGGAAAGGAAAGGAAAGGAAAGGAAAGGAAAGGAAAGGAAAAAGCAAAACAAAGTGAGAGTAAAAGAAAAATAGTTAAAGAAACAAGAAAAATAAGCAACTTCTGATTTACAGTTATAAAGAAACTTAATTATCCTTTCTTCCTCTTGGTATTACAAAAACCCCTTCGGTCCCTTAATTAATCCTTTTTCAAGCGTCAAACCATAAATCTTCATTTTTGTTTTCCATTTTCAGCAAAAAGTCCATAAATGGTTTCCAGACTTTTATTTTTTTTAAAAAGTACAACAGCAGCATTTTCCGAAGAAAGACCTCAGAAACTCATAACCTCTCTACAAAGTCAAGTTCACCTCCGTTACACACAGATTGAAATACCGAGTACCAAAATGTTCCCCTCATCTGAAAACACACCCTCCTGTTTCAAAACAACCAGGAAGAGGTTTTCCCTAACATAACACTCCACTTTCCAAAGCCACAACTTTTCCCTTGCCTTATCAGCACTCTGATCTTGTTCCAAGTCCAGAACGACTCACTTCTTGCGACATTTGAAACAAATCCCTTCCCCCACCCCACCCCCCAAAAAACACCTCTTCCTGCCTGTTCCAGATTTTGGTAGAACTGGTTATTCCAGCTGAAGTCTGCAGATTGGCCCAGGCTTAGCAACTACGGTAGCTTCATCTTTCCCACCAGGTCTTCTCGACTTACTTGGAGTTGAGCGGAAGGCAGGTTGACGTCCGCTACCATTTCTGTACAAGGATGCTCGACCTGCAGCCGAGGGTTTAGCTCCAAAAAGTAAAAACTCCCATCCTGGCTGTAAAGATATTCCACCGTCCCGGCGCTGACGTAGCCCACCATCTTGGCGAGTTTGACCGCACACTGAAAAAGAGAGAAAGGGCTACTTTCAAAAGACCTATATTGAACCAAAACAACTGTCAACTCATAAAATATTTCTATGGTGTTTTTAGAGTTACCAACAGAAACGGAGAGGCGAAAGGGGTTTGAAAGAGCAGTGCGGCAGCTTGGAAATCAAAAATGCATTCCATACATAGTTTTTCAAAGATAGTAACTACCATGTTTCTCATATAATAAGGCCGGGTCTTCTTTTTTTTTTGAGCCCCCCAAAAATGGCTAGGCCGTCTTTTTGGGGGGTGACTTAATTCCCCCCTCCCCTTGCATCTTCGGGCGGGCGGGCGGGCAGGCGGGCGGCGATGGCTTGGATGTTGACCTTGGCATTGGTGGGCACTTCGTATTGGGGTCAACGCAGGCAGCACCATATCTGGGTGTGCAACAAAAGTACTTCCTAACGGCAAGCCCCCCCCCCAACCATTCCCCCCATTTTGCATGTTTTAATATAGGCCTTAATTTGGGGGGAGGGGCTTAATTTCATTTCATGCCTATAAAACATGCTGGGACTTCCTATTGGGGGAGGCCATATTGTTGGAGAAACAGGGTAGGTGACTGAAGTTTCTGCCTCACAAATATCTAACTGTAGAACATGATGGACTCTTGGCTATGGATGTGTCCCATTGGAGAATATGAATTATCATACACTCAGAGGGGTGGGAGAAAACCAGGGTCAAGGGTGACAATGAATTATGTGTCTCAGAGTCGGCTACACCCAGGTCATGCCGGCATGTCAACTCCCAATAAATCCTTTTGAAGTTTTGGAAGTTTGGCTTGAGACTCATGATTTAAATGGGGTAACTGCCAGAATCCTGACAAAAAACTTCATGAGGTCATTTGCTTGGGTAGTTTCTGAGTTCAAGAGAATGGGCCCAAGGAACTCAAATCTGGTGATGGGGTTGCTGGGACAATGGAACTCAATGCAACCCAGAATTACCATTCTGCTTCCCTGCTTTTTTCAAAGATTGTTCATAAAAGCTGTCTTGTTCCTATCAGCTTTTAAAGCATGGGGCCTCTCTCAGTAGATAGCAGTAGCAGCTGCTATTGCAAACCCACATTGCAAACCTATCTAAGCTCAGAAGCCAAGCAGCATCAGGCCTGGCTAGTGGATGGATGGGAGACCACCCAGAAATCTCTAAGCGATAAACTAGACCAGGGATGTCAAACTCAATTTCATTGAGAGCCGCATGAGGGTTGTGTTTGACCTCGGAGGGCCAGGGTAGGCATGGCTGGGTGAGTGGCTGGGGTGGGCATGGCCAGGGTGGGTGTGGCTGGGGTGAGTGTGGCCACCTTAACGTCATTCATGCCAGGGGCACCTGTGGTGGCCAAGTGCTAAGGCAGGACTGCCCTCAGAAGTCCTGAGGGAAGGACCTCCCTCACTCACTCTCATTATAATCTTCCTTCCTTCCTTCCTTCCTTCCTTCCTTCCTTCCTTCCTTCCTTCCTTCCTTCC